AATCTACAGCCTAAGGAACAAGGAAGTCAAAGCAGCATTGGGGAGGCAGCTAAAAAGGGTGACTTTCTCCAAATAAGCACCAACCCTTTTAAAAATAAAGAGAACAAATCTTATGAATACTTGTATGAAAAAGTTATGATTTACAAATCAAGATGTAAGAAATGGATATCATACCCCACTATTGTATGATGGAAATCAATCTTATATACATCTGTGTACACCTTTGGAAGTGATAGCATATAAATTTATAATACAACTAAGAGGAAATTGTTTTCTTTTCTCAGTAAAGTTTTTAATGTGCTAAGGAACATTTTGATGAGAAAAGTAAAAGCACCACAACAAAATTCACTGTCATTAAAAATGCATACTACTTATTCACACAAGTATTTTAAGAATCATAATATATTAAGACCTATGGATAACAAAACCTTTTCACATGGAATATTAACTGACAATATGACATCAAATCTTTCCTTGTGACATGTTTTTGATCCTTTTTTTCTTAATGTGCAGGGAAATGGCTACCTCTCTCTACCCAATTATACTTAGTGTAGATTTTGTCTTAGAAACTAGATACATTTAATTTATCACATTCAAAGCACAAAACTAGAGACTGGATATCACTATCCACTTCCATATGCACATATGTTTATACTCAGCTTATGGTTGCTGTGGACATTTTAAGCACATGTAACCTTTACAGAAGAACAGGGATTCAGAATGAATGTCTCCCACTGTCATAATTTTTTATTTTGCATAGTAAAAGGTGAGTATCTGCAGCACAGAACCTCTTCAAATCATGGAGGTTTACCGTGACACTTAGAAATTTGATTTTTCAGTCATCGGCATCATGCAAAAACTTCCCTGTTGCAAACAGTTACTAGGTATAGGTATAGGTATAGGTCAACAACAATAGCAGTAGTAGGGACACAACTCATGTACTAAAAAAAAATAATAATAATGTTTAAGAATACCAGAAAAAGGATTTAGGATCTTTCAGAAGTAGAGTACAAAATTCAGCATGTGAGAGGTCATAAACCTGCAGGGTTCAAGGAATTATTCAGCAGTCAGGAAGTAAACAGCAGAGAGTAATTTGGGGGAATCATCTAGCATGGAACAAAGGTGATAGACTCAGTTTGATTCATAATTTCAGAAGTATGAAACCTAACTAGGTATAAGGCCTTAGTCAAACATATTTTAATTTTTGGAAATTCCTGATTTCTGTATCCCCAATTATTTAGTAACATCAATCATTTTTTTACATTATTGGTTTTATGAAATCTTGACTGCTGTATCCAGTATCTTGAACATGGCATGGTTGAAGAATTGAACAGATCCTATTGTATCCTATTATATAGCTGTTCTGGAAAGTTTGTTCACAACTCTGGCTTAGATATTTCAATAACAAATTAATAATATCAATTAATATTGAATTTTACTTTGTGAAAATACATATTAGAATACATACTAGAATAATAATTTCTATCATCATCATCATCATCATCATCATCATCATTATTGCTAGATTGAAATGAATTGGTTCGTAGTAAAATGAATCTTGTTTTATGTGTTATACAAGGTACATTCGGAAGATACCTGTTGGGAAAGAAACATAAAAAGATTAATAATAATAATGATGATAATAACAACAACAATAAAAGCAACAGGAGGTTGGGTCCAAATTCAGTAACACATTTGAAGTAATAATAGTAATACTACTCATGAGCAGAGCTTCAAAAGGATTTCGCCAATTACCTTGCTTGGAAGAATGGGATTTGGGTATTTGAACAGAGTGCATGCATGGGCATTCCAGGAAGTTCTTGGGAAGAATCAATACCTTATTTTTGTGAGTACATTTATTAAGAGTGCTGGGTTATTTTTAAAATGTTACAAAGTATACACATGAATATCCATGGGGGGAGAGGCAAATGGTAACATGTGTGTTGCTACATCACCATGCAAATTCTGACCCTGTTGTACTTACACTGATATATTGCAAACAAGTATGTAAGGGGTTGAGCTTGCAACATGATTTTACAATGTATATTTTATTATTTTGACAAAATCCTGGGTTCCTGTTGATGCTACTGAATATACACAGTCCTTAGCTATACTCAGGATGAATCTGGAACATTTTCTTTTTCTAGTGTTTAATTTTAAAATTGGTTTGAAAATTTGTTGTATCAGAAATTGAGCAAACATACCCTGACCTATAATCCCTGTTTTTGTGAACTTGGATTCCGTATAAACCTTCATCATCATCTTATATTTTTGACATTGACAATTAGAAATTTAAACATAATAAGATCTGTACAGGGTTGACTCTACTGAAACATTAACAAAATGTTAATCATTGCATGGATCTAAATCAAATTAGTCATTCTTTAACTGAAACCAATGAGAAATGGAGATTAGTTAGTAGTAGTTAGCCTAATTCCTACTGATTTCAGTAGGATCAAGAATTATTAACTTGGTTTGGATCCAATTAATTAACTACGGTGAAAACAACCACTTCAAACTAGTGGTTTAGTTTGAAAAGCATCACACCAGGAACTTGGTCTCGTTAGGGTTTATTATATCTTTAATTTATAACAGCCAAGAGAGTATAGTGTTCTCCCTCAAGTATTTAAGGGATATTTCCTGAAGTATGGAACTATGAGAGAACATTGTTGTCTCCTTTATATTAAAGGTAGATGTGCATTATCTTTGGGGATAATGCAAAACATTACAATACCTAATTCCTGTTTTTGACTATCATTTATCAGCATCTTTAAGATACAATACACACAATGGTAAGGAATCCTGAAGGATTTTTTTTCCTCTCTCTCTCTCTTACTGAAGAGGCAGCTGCAGTTTCATTTAGAAGCTATTGTAGTTTGTTTGGAGGAATAATTTAACACAGACCTGAGTGAGGTGGCAAGAAGAATACTGGAGCATTGAATGAAACAATTAAAATATCTCTCTTATAGTAGAAGCAAGATTGTGGGACAGTAAATCAGCTCAACTCCAAAATGATGTATGATTTTTTTATACTTCTTAAACAGCGTGAACCAATTTATTGTGTAATCAGAACTATTTTGCAAGGAAAACAAATCCAAGGAAGTGTGAGAAACTGTGAGTTATACAAGAATTGAGATGGAAAGAAAGCTAGACTGAGATCTTAAGAGAGATGGCAATGTTAGTTTGACACCCTTCCACTTTCTTTGGCCATTAGAATTCTTTAACTGGATAGGAAACATAGTTAAGAGTAGTTACAACTATTTCATGACATTAAGTACCTATGATATTTGGACCCATTGCTGCTCAACATTTTCTTCAACTTTCTGAGAATACATTGATGAAACTTGTCTTTGCAAACTCAAAAACTTTCATATTTGGCCTTTTTTCTCCTCATAATGTTTTAAAGATGATTAGAGGATTTTCTTCTTCACAGTTATATCCTAATTGTTTCCTGTCTTGTGAGAAGAGTGCTCTTCCCCAATCTAGCATCATCCAGATTTGTTTGACTGTAACTCCCATCACCTCCCATCCAGCATGACATTAATGGCCTGCAAATGTATAGCAGTTGTAGTCCAAAACATTAGGACTATGCTAAATCAGACTAGTCCAAATAGATGTTCAGGCTAGTACTGGATACAAATACATTATAAGGCTGTTACATGGTAAAATGAGAAGGATCACAAGAAGATGACCATCACAAGAGTAGATCATACTCAGATTGGTACAATATCTGATGCTGCATCTTAACTCTCAAGTACTGTCCTCTAAACTGGTTGGTCCCAGTTTTTGAAGCCAATCAATATATCTTGTGATAATAAATTCTACATTATGCTGAACTGCATATCCAGGTGTTCTTGTACTGGAATAGCTTGACATCAATATACATATTTTTATCAGATCAAGTAAACTATCAGTCATTTAGCACACTACTAAAGACAAAACTCAAGTTATTCTCTCCCCCACACCCCTTTAATCTCTGCATGTTCATTTAACTTTGAAATCACTGAATCATTCTGAGATATTGGAAAGGCCTTCAAAATTTGAACTACTGAGTTCAAGATCTAAAGTATTATTTAAATGGGAAAATGGTCTTTCTATGGATGGTAATAAGCAATCTACAGGTAATTATTTTCAGGAGAAAAATACTGCATTCAATGCTGTTTGTAATAATTGAGGCTGATTTGATTCTTCCCCAAATTGGATAAATTTTAGTTCTGGCTACATTTGGAATGCTGGCACAAATTTTATTAGTTGTTTTAGATTTTTTTTGTTCCATTTTTGTTTTAATTTCAGAAGAAAGATACAACTGTTCCTAAGTCTGATTTTGTGTGTGTATCTATCTATCTATCTATCTATCTATCTATCTATCTATCTATCTATCTAT